TTACCAAAGCGGGAAACTTAGGGTTAACTTTCCTAAAATAGGAAACCTTGTTTGAGTAGGATTCCTCGTTTTGGTAAGAATTCATCGTTGGAGTAGGATTTCGTCGTTTCTTCAAGTCTTCAACTCATTCATTCCTCTTTCGCTCCAAAAGACTCCAATTCGCATCTTCTTGCACACTTTGGCCTTTTAATCTGAAAATACACAAAAGTGGCCTTAAACACTAAAATAGATAAGTAAACACAACATAAATGCACGAGAACAAACTAATTAAGTCGCATGAATATGCTCCTATCAGTGGTGATGGCGGGTGATCTCTGTGTTTACATAGAGAGAGTGAAGAGAGAGAGAGAGAGAGTTAGATGAGAGAGAATGGAGAAAGTTTGAAATGAGGGAGAGATAGTGCTCCAAAAAGAAGGGAGACATGGGAGTGAAGGGAGGAGTGGTGTGGGCCGTACTAGCTCACAAAACAAAGTCATAAAAGACAAAATAGAAAATATCTCAAAAACATGAAATTACTAAAACGCCCTTCACATTTGTAGTTTTGTAAAATTGTAACCATAGCTCCAATTTCGATTCCACTTACACCTTCGTGTTTGTACCAATGAGTACATCGAGAATACGATAAAATAGTAACTCGCACACATAACTAAATAATGGTCAGTGAAAGTCAACAATCTCGCCTCTAGGGGCATTTTCATCAACACTCCTTTAAAAATATTAAAATAAAAAAAATTAGGGATGAGTTGTTACAAACAACATCTTCAACGACAAAAAATCATTTGAAGGTTGTCAGCAAAAAATTTTAGCGAACATTTTATATTTTTTCTAAATTTTATTTTCAAAATTTTAATAAACACGCATGACATATGTACAATTGCTAGTATTAGTTAACAAATGAGCATCAAGATTGAGAAAAAAAATCGAGAAACATAAAACTACAATAAAATGTCACGAGGCCAACAACTCCTACTAAAAGACGTCGATAGAATACAAGAACTTGCTCAAAAAATATTAAAATATATCCACGATGCAACCGTACTCTTGTTTCCTAGGATTTCAAAGCCCAAGCCTTGTCCAAATACCAAGACGCAACAAGCCATACGAAATAACCAAAAACAAAATAGTCATCGCTCGTTGAATGATCTCCAACGAATTCTTAGCGGAGAAGGAAAGGGATGTCCCAACGAAACATCCCGCATGCACCCGACAAATTGTAATAAAATTGCCAATTAATCTATAAATTAATCATCCCCATTAATATAAAGATTAATTATTTCTAACCACATTACGTGTATAGTGTATAAGTCAACATAATTAACAAAAGGGTAATCAATGTTAGGAATACTATATTTTTAAACTAAATTTTGTAAATCATATGACGTAATTGTTGATAATTGAATTATTATTTAAGACTCAGACTCATGAATGTTGGGACTAAAAAAATAGTCCATGCCCCCTGCCTATTCACTGTTTAATGCCCTACCTAATGAGGATTGGTTGCAAGCCAAAATAATGGAGTGACATTTGTCTCCCCCTTCCTAGATGAACAAGTAAACTACCACATTCCCAACTAAACTACCTACTTGTAACGTTTTCAGTAAGAAAACCAAATGTATATGTACATATCATGGGAATGGGTTGACCTCTACGCGCGTTATCTAACCAGCACTTTTGGTTTTTCCTTTCTTAATCAATGGGGGCTGGAAAGATTTAGAGTTGCAATATACATTTCTCACCTTGGGAGAAACAAGTAGTACACTTGTACACTATCAAAAGGTTTTTTATTTTTCGGTAACGGTTAAATAATTGATTATGCGAGGTTAGCCTTTTTGTTCTGGTCTAAATGCATTTAGCGCCAATCTTCTCTTGAAGAAAAGAGAATCCTAGCAATCACCACAAGACCAAACCTACATGGCCAGTTTGTAGCAGTTTCGTTCAACAATATTTCATCAGAGAACATGTTTATAGAAAAGATGTTACTTAAGAAAATGAACCTACAAAATAGTGCTTAAAATGCTTCTAATCTAAATTGAAATGTCTCTAGAGTCTTGAATGTTGACGTTGAAAATCATGCAACTTGATTCACCGTTAGAAAAATAAAAATAAAAATCTCTAAAAACACTTCTTGAGAGATTTGTGTATGCATTCCGATTTATATCTCCCTCTTTCTGTCGCTCCCAGCATGTAACCTTTGATCACGTGGTCTAGAGAAACGAGAGATGCACTCTGGGAATAGCCCACGTTTTTCGAATTCGATTTGGGATAGCCAATCCAGCAGCGGGCAAATCACTCTTTGTTTCTGAGAGATTTAGATTTAGAGTATATCCTCAATTACTTGGGGGTAGAACTGATTGATATGTCTGGCAAAGTCGCAAATGAATGATGACTATGAGAGACCAGTTAAGAAAATAAGGGGTCAACAGAGTGGCTAGCCAGCCGCGTTCTTTTTTCCTTTTCAAACCAACTAGTCGTTGTAATTGATGACTTTGTTGGTTCTCCAATCTCTCAACCCTATCCATAGTATGTCTAGCAAATCTACCAAAACACAAGCAAATAAGCTACTTCTTTCGTTTCACATGATCATGCAAGGAAATCAAATACATAATACGAAATTAATGCATTTGATACTTAGTAATACGGTCTAATGATATTTCTCTTCACTTGTAAGTGGGAGATCATAGGTTCGATTCTCGCGAAAAGTGAACTTGAACCACATTATTAGTAGACAAGTTCATTGTTTTCATTTCACACAAAGGCTATGTTTAAGTAATGCGATATGTAGTGCGCATGCAGATAATACATACGAAATTAAGCAGCTTCTTAGTATAATAATTGATCGTTTTAATGTTAAGTAAGAAGATATTTCTAAAAGGGGTCAATATCTAGTTTATTTTTATACAATTTTATACTCTAATTGGTGCTCTGAATATATCTAGTAATTATCCCACTAAATTTGAGTTGTATAGTTTATTAACAATAATACTTGAATACCCTCTTAGGGGATGACTCATTTCCCACTTACAAGTAACGTATTTTCATTGTAGAAGTTTTCTAATCGGAATCATTCAATTTCTTAGTCTTCACTTGAAGATTATCCGTAAAAAAATTTATTTGAATCGACAATCGTTTAATCATCCAAATATTTTAAATAAATGGACGGTGAACTATTAGTATGTTACTTGGTATCTACAACATCTATTTATTTGAGACACACTAGCTAGGATGACTTACAATTCCCGATTTGAATAACAATTCTGTAGGAATCATCTTCAAATGAAAATTAAAAAATTAGACGATTTTGACTATGAAATTTCTACGATAAATGTATTTTAGTTGCAAATGGGAAATTTGAGCTCGTTCCCAAAGAAAAGATGCAATAGTATTATCCTTATTTGATTGTGACAATACGACCTTTAGCTTCTTTTGAGTTATTTATTTGATTTTGTCTCTTTTCATCTCTGACTTAAAAAAATGATGATATAACTCGATTAAGATTGAATTCTCTTCTAATACATATGTGAATGTGGTTTATGGTGATCATCATTAATAAATTAGCTCAACAATCTGAACAGTATATGTTAATTACATAATACATATATACTTGGAGTACCACATTAGAAAACCTATAAATTAGTTATTGCTACCAATTAGCAAACGCTTATTTTGACAACAAGAATCCTTAGAAATCTTCTGACATTATTTTCTTGACAAAATGTTGGGCGCCGTTGCCGCCGAATTAATATATTTCATCATGAGATTGATTGATGATAGAATAAAGTTATATATACATATATAGAGTTCCATCCATATTGCTCACTTCACAGAGATATTAATGAGTTCTAAAATTACAGAACACTTTTATGTAAGACGGTTGTATTGCTACGTGTTACTGCTCTAGGTTGTATTGTGTAGATTAACGTTTTAACACAAGTTAATTTGTAGTAGTACGTGTATGATAATTCTAAATTTTGGTATATCATGAGTCCAGCTCATGATAAAATTTTGGAGAATACTACGTTCAAGGGAATGTAATGGTTGGTTTACCCACTTTATACGTTGGAATTGCGAATGACATTAATCAAACATAGGAACTCTATGTGGTGCATGCATATATGAAGTTCCAAGGCTAATTAATTGGATGGCTCATGAAATTTTCGACTTCCAATTATAGTAGCGGAGCTAATTCTTGGACTAACTGGGGTGTTTCATCCATACATACAAATAGATATGGCATTTCCCCATTGTAGATCATCCAAAAGCAAGCATACCACTCATTTAGAGTGTTAGAGAGAGTGTATTATACTTTCTTGTATTCATCAAACCTCGTCTTTGCCTTAGTAAGATTGTTCTTGTTGTACCAATTACTTTGATATAGTGAAAGCTTGATTCGATGCTCTGTGGACATAGACACAAATTATTGAATCACGTAAATTCTTGTTGTCGATCTTTCTACTTTACTTTGTGTTTTTTTTTCTTTCTATTTTGTAATACCATGAATCCTAATACTATAACACCTTATTTGTTGTGAGTAAGAAACTAGAGCCAAGCCAATGTTTAGGCAAGTTTTTCTCTCTAAGTTAGAAAGCAAGAAAGTAAAGCATATAATTAATATAAGACAAACCAACGTTCACATTTGGGACATAATTGAATTGACACTCATTTTCCCCTAAAACATCATAATACCATATCATGCTCCATGCACCAAGCAATGGATCCGACGCGTCGTGACACAGACAAGTCGGCCACCAAACGCACAACCCCTCAATGAAAACCCAAATATTCCATCCATCTGATCCAATCAACCGCCACGTGTACGGTCAAAACAAAAAGAAACCAACGATTCAACCCAGATTAGAATTATTAAAAAATCTAAACACCCAACATTAGCAATACGTAACAAATAACGGTCGTGTAAATATGCGCTTCCGCCCGTTGCGCAATGTGGAGCGGTTATACCCATTTGCTTCTATCCCCACCACCCTGTAATATTTGGCTCTATAAATAAACCCTACAATCACACTCAACAGAAACCCCATCACCTCTAATCATCTCTTGCTCTGCTCTGCTTCTCTCAGAACCAGAGCATCAGCATGGCCACCTTCACATTCCCTCTCCTTCTCTCTCTCCTCCTCCCACTTTTCGCTTTTGCAGCTGCTGCTGGTACGTACATAATAACGCGGATATACGTTTATGAGATTTTCTATCATGCACCGGCTTATCTGATATGCTTGTTTATTGATTGTTCAAATGCATTGTGCATATCATGTTAGAGCTTGTGTACACTTTGTGCTAATTAATTACTTATAGGTTAAATTTGAACTCATTACATCTAATGGGTTTTTTTCTGGCTTTGCGGAAACAGGTACTGTTGGAATAAACTACGGCAGGATAGCGGACAACTTACCACCGCCCGAAAAGGTGGTGGCACTCTTCAAATCCCAAGGCATTAACAAAGTGAAGCTCTACGACACCGACGCCGCTGTCCTCACCGCCCTCGCCAACTCCGGCATTGGAGTCGTCGTCGCCATCCCCAACGAGCTCCTCTCCTCCGCCGCCAGCGACCCCTCATTCGCCGACAAATGGGTCCAATCCAACATCTCCCAATACCACCCCAAAACCCAAATCGAAGCCATCGCCGTAGGCAACGAGGTCTTTGCCGACCCGAACAACACCACCCAATTCCTCGTCCCCGCCATTAAAAACATACAGTCTTCCCTCGTCAAGTACAACCTCAGCTCCATCAAACTCTCCTCCCCGTTCGCCCTTAGTGCCCTGAATTCCTCGTACCCGCCTTCTGCCGGGGCCTTCAAACCCGACTTAATCGAACCCGTCATCAAACCGTTTCTGGAATTTTTAACCCAAACGTCGTCGTATTTGATGATAAACGCGTACCCATTTTTCGCGTACGAGTCCACCTCCGATAAGATTTCTCTCGACTACGCTCTGTTCCGGACCAACCCGGGAAATCCGGACTCGGGTAACGGGCTGAAGTACTACAGTTTGCTCGATGCCCAAATCGACGCCGTTTTCGCCGCCATGTCGGCTGTCGGATACGGTGACATAAAGTTGGTGGTGACCGAGACCGGGTGGCCCTCCAACGGCGACGAGAACGAGATTGGCGCGGGGAAAGCCAATGCGGCGGCGTATAACGGAAACTTGGTGAAGAGAGTTTTGACGGGAGGTGGGACCCCCTTGAAGCCAAACGACCCGCTCAACGTCTATCTATTCGCTCTGTTTAACGAGGATCAGAAGACCGGGCCCACATCGGAGAGGAACTACGGTCTGTTTTATCCGGACGAAACGAAGGTTTACGACATTCCGCTTACGGTGGCTGGGCTGAGTGGGGCCCAGTCATCGCCGGCCAACAAGAGCAAGGTTCAGGTCCCGGCAGCGTCGCCCTCTGCGGGGAACACGTGGTGCGTGGCGAATGGGAAGGCAGGGGAGGAGAAGCTTCAGGCCGCACTGGATTATGCTTGCGGAGAAGGAGGAGCTGACTGCCGTTCGATCCAGGAAGGGTCCACGTGTTTTAATCCTAATACGCTTGAGGCGCACGCTTCGTACGCTTTCAATAGTTTTTATCAGAAGAAAGCACGCGGGACCGGCACGTGCGATTTCGGTGGTGCTGCCTACGTTGTTGCTCAACCTCCAAGTACGTAACAAACTCCTTTATTATTTCATCTCTAAATTTCTTGATTTAATTTATTCAATTTATGATTTAATTTTTAGCATACCAAATTAATGGTTTATACTAAAATTCATCCATTGTTACTCAAAAGGGTGATGGATTTTGTTTTACGATTACTAATCTAACACGGAATTCTCAACACGAAAGTAATATGCATACTAATTTCTTTTTTTTTTGTATTGTTGGTAGGTTATGGGACGTGCGAGTTTCCGACACGTTACTGAATGAAGAAATTAAGATGGGGTTGTTTTAGTTTGGTGAATAATTATTCGGACATTGGTTGGGACTTAAATTATTTTTTGGTATAGATTTTAGAACAGTTTGGGCACCTATCTGATTTGTATTTGTATTTATTTATTGCTATCACCATTATTTAATGAATATAGTGATTTGGATTGGTTATGTTTGGTTCGACTTATTTATCTGTAATTACTTGCATGTTCCTTTTCTTCTAGATTTCTCAGTCTGCATTTCCGTTGGCTTTTGTTTTTGTTGGTATTGCGACTATTGTCAATTATCATTGAGTTTTTTAATTCGGTTTGATGGGAGATATGTACTTATGGTCGGCTACAAAGCTTATGTTAAAATATGTGACATAATTGTCTTATTACTTATTTTTAAAATTAAATTATTGTGAAAGAGTTAAATTAATTATCATATTTATCGATGATGTCTACATTCACTTGTTCATAAAATTCAAAGAGAAACGACATAAAAATACATATCAAGGAGTGAATATAGTAGCTAATAATAAATAAATAATATATATAGGGGCTAATAAACTCGGTTGAAGTGGTCATGACAAAAGATCTACTTATATTTCGTTTGATCTCCCTTGTATTATCCTTTCTTTAAAGCTTTTGTATGATGGTAGGAAATCCTTTTAATCTTTTTTCTTTTTTAATTTTCAAAATGGAAAAAAATTTTGAGGATCTGTTTTTTTTTTTTTTTTTTTTTAAGAAAAGGGGATAACTGATGGTAAGCCACAGTTATTTATCTCTTTCGGAATCCAAAAAGACTCACAAAGACATTTCAGTTTTCCTCTGATCACAAATTTGACTTTTACTTTCAAGGATCTTTAGATATGCTGAATTGGAGTAACTCATAGAAAGGCTACAATGTAGATTGGGCTTAGAGGGCTCGTGCAGCACTTCAGATAATGGGCGTGAGCTTGCAAACCCAAAACACTTGGGCCAACTCAGGCATCCGCAATTAAATGTGAAGAATCCAAATTACGATTTCGGCATATCTTGTGGGATTGAAACATGTTTGATTATGTTTTTGCCATTTATTACTACGGTTCAACCTTAACATATTGTGTTAATTTACACAATTTGCGTGATGCACATGTCGTAAATTTAGGACCTAATGACTAAATGACTACTTCGTTTTGGGTGGGGACAACCTGAACTTCTCGTTCAAATGATGACAGCTAAGAACGGAACCTCTCACACTCAAAGACTAGGTTAGTGCCAATCAAGTTTGAATCCTCAACACCAAAATCAGCTTCAATCGCAAAGTTATCGAACGTGAAGGTTCTAAGAACATGAATTAGACTTATTGATTATCATATTACCATATATATATATAATGCATGTACAATTATTAATGACATACTCCGACCGAAATCAAGGCGTGTTGGCCGTCACGTGAGAGTGATGTAACTATGTGCACAGTGTGGAAGCAAAATGATAAAGAGAAATACAAATAAATAAAAACAAAACTACTAGCAGTACTAGCTAAGATAACATGCTAGTGCGAGAGTAAGTGTGAAATACACAACCAGAGCATAAATAGCCTAAGTGCAGTCCGACTGGACAAGTACTAATTAAACAGCACCCAAAGGTGACCCTACGTTTGTGAAATCTGTCAGAACCACCACTGGAATCCTCGTATGCCACCAATGATAACTCCTACCCAGAACTTGGAGGGGCGCAAAATATAAAGTGTGAGTGGGCAAAAACAATGTTTTTCAAAATCATGTCATTTCTCAAAAGTTCTAACCCTCGATGTAAAACTTGTATAATTTCCCAGAAAATATAATATATAACAATATATTCCACAACCATGCTCAAAATAGCAAAATTCATCATTATGCCATGTCAAATATCCATGCTCAGAATAGCAAAATTCATCTTTATGCCATGTCAAATATCTCAGCATAAAAATATATGTAAGCCAGGTGATATCAATCAATGAAAACCCAACGTTCACATTTATGTCGTGTCAAAATTCATCATTATGCCATGTCAAAATTCATCATTATGTCGTCGGAAATGGGAAAATTTTCCATTCGTCATATCTAACTCATTTCTCAACCAAAATTCACGAATTTTATGTCAAAATGAAGCTTAGGACAAGGGAAATAAGTTTATACCACTTTGAAGCACCAAAAATGTCGGAATCTTGCCGGAGAAATCTCACAAAATTCGGCCAACTTTAGAACTTGCTATCATGACGTCCAAAATCCTTCAAACTTGCTCTCTGAGCTTCGTGAGAAGGTTCTAAAGCTCCATACGACCTTAAAAACTCCTAAAAACCTCACAATAATTAGTGCATGAACAATGCATGAAATCTGGGGTTAGGGTTCTCGAGGTTTTTGAAGGTTTCAAGTCTCACAAATGGTATATATGAACTCAGAAACTTGCAAGGAGTTTGAATCTTACCTTCTAGACATTGATCCGTGCGTGAATGGTTGGTTTTGAAGTTCGTCCGTACAATTGCAAAGGAATGGAAGAAATCCGAAAGGAAAGAGAGAGAGAGGGTCAACGGGAGAGAAAGAGAGGGTGTGAGTGTATGGTTCAGATGGCAGCCAATCAAAAACAAAAGAAAACAACTAAACAACATCCCCGCATGCCAACTAACATCCAAGGGCAATTTAGTCTTTTCACACCTACGGTACAAAAAGTTTGGGACGTACTGTCACAATTAATATCTAAACTTTAAACGTCAAATTATAAGCTCATCGTATTGTATCAAGGATTTGCCACTTGTTTTTTTTTTTTTTAAACACACAAACTCTGACATATGCCTCATACCAAAATTTTTTTTTTTTTTATGTATAGATAATGTATTAAATACCAAAAATGTATTTATTACTAATGAGGGTGTATTCAATTGAGATTTGGAGGGATTTTAATTCTATTAATGAATCTAAGGGTATTCAATTAGAATTTTAGGTGATTCTCTGGAATTCAATCAGGATTTTAAGATAGTTTATTAAAATTCTTAGAAATCTGAGTGTATTCAATTAAGATTTTATGGAAATTTATAACATTCCGGGTGTATTCAATTAGAATTTGATTTTAAAGAAATTGAAAAAGTTGAGGAATTTGAGAGAATTTGAGAGATTTCATAAATATTTTAAGCATCAACAAATCTCACATTTCCCCATGAGATTTTAAGGGAATTAAATCAAAATTTTACATAAAATCTATACAAATAAACTCCATACAAATGGGGAAAAAAGACTGTAAACTAATATGGGTGTATTCAATTGAGAATTTGCAAGACTTTAATGGATTTATAAATCCATGGATTTTTATAGAGTTTAATTGTGACATCCCACATCGCCCAGGGGAGTGATCCTTATATGTATATTCCCATCTCTACCTAGCACGAGGCATTTTGGGAGCTCACTGGCTTCGGGTTCCATCGGAACTCCGAAGTTAAGCGAGTAGCGCGCGAGAGCATTCTCAGGATGGGTGACCCATCGGGAAGTTCTCGTGTGAGTTCCTAGAAACAAAACCGTGAGGGCGTGATCGGGGCCCAAAGCAGACAATATAGTGCTACGGTGGTGAAGCGGGCCCGGGAAGTGGTTCCCCCCGGGCCGGGATGATTAATTGATTTGTAGAGATTCCATATAAATTTTTTATTCAATTCCCTCGAAATCTCATAGGGAGAGGTAAGATTTATGGATGCTTAAAATATACTACGAAATCTCTCCAATTCCCTCTAATTCTTCAACTTTCTCAAATTCTTTAAAATCAATTTCTAATTGAATATATCTGTAATGTTATAAACTTCTTTAAAATCCTAATTGAATACACCCGGATTTCTAAGGATTTTAATAAACTATCTTAAAATTATGATTGAATACACTTTGAATTTCAGAGAATCACTTAAAATCCTAATTGAATACTCATAGATTCGTTAAAAGAATTAAAATCCCTCAAAATCCCATTTGAATTTCGGGTGTATTCAATTAAAAATTGATTTTAAAGAATTTGAAAAAGTTGAGGAATTCGAGGGAACTTGAGAGATTTCACAATGTGTTTTAAGCATCTACAAATCTCATCTCTTCCTATGAGATTTTCGAGGGAATTGAATCAAAATTTTACATAGAATATCTACAAATCAATTAAACTCCATAAAATTCTATGGATTTATAAATCCATTAAAATTTCTCAAATTCTCAATTGAATACACTCTCCTAAAGCATAACTTGAATTCGTCATAGTGGGAAAATAAACAATTTTACAAAGTAATTGTTACTTGAATTCCTCATAGTGGGCAAAGAAAAAATAAATTTACAAAGTAATTGTTACTTGAATTCGTCATACTGGGTGAAGAAAAAATAAATTTACGAAGTAATTGCTGTGGGATCAAAATTCCATTGAAATCAATGCCACAAATAAAATTAATACATATTCCAGAAAGTGCTATACCAAAAAGCCCCCTTGCCTGCAAAGCACATAACCCAGAACGCCAACAACCAAAAACGGGATATGTCACTGATTTTTTCTATCCTTTTCTATTTGGAATGAATGGAAACCACATGGTAAATTCTTGAAATCGAAAAATGGTTGCCCTTCGATTATTCATCTCTAAATATTGGTGGTACATGAGTAGTTACTGTTGAATCTCAATCTCCCACTAAAGTGAGATCAGATCGTGGAAATCCTTAAGAGAAAACTACTAACTTGTTTGAGTTTTTTCTCCATCATCTTTGAAGGTTGAACACATAACCTTTTTTTTTCCTTATTATGTTTCCTATAAAATTGAGTCATAAGCAAGATAGTCATTAAGATTGGCACAACTCCGCATTTTGGTCCTTGAGATTTAAAATTGATAGAAGTGTTCCTTGAGTTTACTCACCATCAATCATTTTAGTCATTTTGTGAAAAATCTCCATTCAATAAGGATCAAAATGACAAAAATACCCTCAATTTTTATCAAATTATTTTGGCCCATTGTTTATAAAATTTTGAGGGTATATTTGTCATTTTGAACTTTATTTAAAAAAAATTTCACAGAATGACCAAAATAATTAATGATGGGTAAATTTAAGAACCACTTCTACTGATTTCAAATCTCAAGTACGGATCAAAATGAAAAATTATGCCAATACCATATACGATTTTGACTAATGTCTATACTGAAGAGAAATGTGAGATCTAGAT